TATATAAATACTACTATAATAATTATACAATAATTGTTCTATATATAAATTTTTACCCCAAAACTCAGTTTTTTTTTAAATTTTTCAAAGAAAGTGTGTAAAATTAACTAACCGGTGTTTATTCGGTGTTATCTCCTTCCATATTGATCATGAGTTGTACTAGTTGTATAACTTCCAAAATGTTAAAATTGACGAATAAATATAATTTATTTTTTATATACAAAGTTGCTTATATACTACATTATGAGAACTAACATGCTTACAATAAATGAAAAGAAAAATTTGTCTTGCTTTCGAAAAGAGAGGTATGTGAGAAAAAAAATCTAACACAAAAAAAAAAAAAATAGAACACAAATGAAACATAAAGGAGTAATGAGTGTAACGCGATTGTTTATTAGTTAGATCACGCGATCGTGATCAATTTGTTTGTCTCTGATGTTTACAGTCAATCAAAAAATTGACAGCTGCGCCACATGATTGGCATAACCTGGCACACATTTCAGACGTGCCTATTATCAATGTTGGTAATTTTATCATTCCAATTGCATGAATTGAACAATTGGACATAATTCATATGTCCAATTCAAATTGTGGTGCAGTTTTACTAAGTCCAATTGGTCTAATTGCCAACACTAACTATTATAGTAATTGAGTGGATACCCGCCTACCATGGTAAAGTATGGGCCAATAGAAGTTTGAGGCAATAATAGGTCTGAGATTTTCTGGGCTGCACGCAATTATTATTCTTCAATGAGAAATCTCTAGTAAGCCATTAGCTTGTGTTGTTTACATACTGATTGAACGGCTTAGTAAGACCCTTAGATGATAATCAGAGGCTTTAATTAGCATCTGTTTACTGAGATTTTGTATAAGTTGTAACGAATGAACCTGCGGAAGGATTTAAAGCATGTCAAGGCTTGTGAAATATTGAAAATCCCACTTTTTTAACTTTATAATAAATCATGATACATGAATCAGTTATTTATTAAACTTCTCTCTTTTTGATACTCACCTTTAACACCTCTAACAACTTCTTTCTTTTTTCATTATATACTACAAGTTCGAAAGGTCTGAAAAATAAATAGGAGTAATTCATATTCTTAAGAGTCAGGGTTGAGCTTACACTTAAGCGCGGTCATGTAGTGAAGTTGTATATAGGACTTCTTGATCATAGGAAGTACGGTCATCGCTGAAGTTACATATAGAGCTACTTTGTTTAAAGTAGTTATCCAGCAGTATTATGTAGGTCAAACAATGTACTTTATCATGCTCTTTTTATTGATAGAGCATCGCATACAAAACTTTTTACTGGATATGTCTAGCATAAAATATACAGTTGAATCTGGGTATAAAGAACCTGTCGTTTCAGAAGATTTAGTTCGGTATAAAGTGAGTTTGCTATTTGATAAACCGAACTATCATGTGATTTAAAATTCAGCATATGAAAAATGTTACACTATAAATTATTTGCCAATGCGATAATTTTTTTATATAAACACTGTTTTAAAACTAAAGTTAGTCTTGCACACCAACTTTTAACATAATAATTGATAAATTTTATTATTACGGAGTGATCACGTTGTCACGATGGTTTTGTGGCTTCAAATAAAATCTCAAAAGGGTAAATAAAACTAAGACAATTACTCAGGGAATCACGGGTAAGGATTCGCAATAATGTCAAAGGATTATTCTCAATATAAATCACGTGAGGTAAACACAAAATAAACTCAAAGTTAACTCAAAGATATTTCAGAGAT